ACAATTTCATGCAATACAGAAAACAGGTTTTTTGAATGAGGTGTGTGCTGTGTAACCATAACCCCAGCCTCTTTCTCGTCTCAAACTGGTTCCTGCCAATACAACATGGTGTGAAAAACAGGAAGGGGATCACCCAAATTTATAGAGAGGACATGAGTAGTCACTCACTCTAAGGGTTCCTATGTGGCTAAAGATGAGAAGGATCTTCAGAGAGGTTCATTAATGATAGTAGATTATGGATGATGACAGAAAGGTCCAGAGAAGATGAACAAGATGCACAATGCAAACAGGGGACATTGTCTTTAAAAGAGGGCATGAAAGTACAGAAAGAACACTGCTTTGGGGTAAGAATACAAGTTCTACATCTGACATTTTCTTTCACAAACAAGCTTTGAGCAACTCTTAATCCCAATATCCTTATTTTTCCTTATGAAAAAAAAAAAGCAACTTAAAATGCCCCCTTCAGAGTGCATTCCAAATACGAAAATTTATAGGACAGTAAGTTTTAAATCATAAAATAATGTTTACACATTAATTTTGAAAATCTATTCTTTTTAAACTTGTTTTGAAATAACTTCAAACTTACAAAACAACTTGTAAGAATTTTATAAATTCCTGTATATCCTTCTGTTTGAACTAGTTGACAGCATTTTACCACATTTTGCTTTTCTTCTTCTCTGTGTCAGTACTGTGTGTGTATGCATGTATGTGTTGACATTATATTTTTTTTCCTAAACCATTTGAGAGTTGCAGATATAAAGGCTCATTTCCACTTATTATTTTAGAAGGCAGCAGCTATAAACAAGTACACTGTCCTATGAAACCATGGTCTATCAAAATCAAGATTTTCCCCAAATGGTACAAAATAAAACTTGGTTTGATGATCCAGTCCTGGATCTTGATCACGTATTGTGTATGTCATGTCCCTTCAGTCTATTCAGCCTGGAACAGTTCCTCAAATGGGGTGGGAGGATGAAAAGTGAAGCCTAGTAACTGTGAAAATATTGCTTAGTTCCTAGTATTTCTCTGTTATCACACACATACTATGCATTTTTGTCTGGAATACCACAAAAGTGTCACTGTAGCTTTCTTAATGCAGTGTATCAGTAGGCACACATTGTCAATTTGTTCCACCACCAGCGATGGTAAATTTTTCACTGGATTAAGATTTTTTTTTTGCCAGATTTCTTCACTCCGAAGTGAAATAATTATTCTGTAATCATTAAAAAGTAGTGAACAGCTGGGCACGGTGGTGCATGCTTGTAATTCCAGTAGCTTGGGAGGCTGAGACAGGAGCATAGTGAGTTCAAAGCCAGCTTCAGCAATAGTGAGGCATTAAGCAACTCAGTGAGATCCTGTCTCTAAATAAAATACAAAATAGGGCTGGGGATGTGGCTCAGTGGTTGAGTGCCACTGAGTTCAATCCCTGGTACCAAAAAGAAAAAAAGTAGTTAACGCTAAGCTGGGGATACAGTTCAGCAATAGAGTGCATGCCTAGCAAACATGAGACTCTGGGTTCAATCCCCAGCACCACACCAAAAAATTAAAATTAAAATTAAAAAGTAATTAACATTACTTTACATTCTACCCTAAAGTGAGGTTTTCCACCTTCTTTTACTCATATGTTTATTTCCGTCGGTATGAACATATATGTATTTCTATTTTTTCAATGGATTATAAAACATTGCTATCATCATTCATGCCAATGATCAAATTTACCAGATTTCTCAAAATGGAATCCTTTTAAAGCTAGATCTTGTGTCCTTTGGCATGCTCACCTCACTCTTTGAGCACACTCTTTCTGGGACAAAATGACATGCCAGGCTCATCTTGTACTCTTCTGCCCTAGCTATAAATCAGTCATTTCTCCAAGGAACTTTCATTACCTTTAGTGGAGAGTGGTTTTCAGAAATAAAGATGTCAGGGTTAAAAGTGCAAATTGCTATTGATAGTATTGATTTTTCACTCTGGAACAACAGTACAGCCATATGGGGGGAAAAATGAACTTCAAACTTTAATTCATTACATATACAAACATTAATTTGTGATGAATCATAGACCTAACATAAAAGTTAAAACTATGAAGTTTCTATCCATGAAAAAATTGTTAGAAATTGAATTTCCCAAGGATGATAAACATTTTGCTAATAAAAAAAAACACCATTAAAGAAATGAATAGACATGTCACTGAATGAAAATATATATATTTCTACTGAATATATATATTTGCATATATCTATATATATTATATGAAAACACATACACAAAGAACTAATATCTAGAATATACAAATATTTGAGGATATATAATGCCGCAGTTTGGCTGGGCACAAATAACCGGGAGGTTGAGCCACTTGTAGACTCAAGCAGGAACGAACTTTACTTTCAAACTCATGCGAACGCCACCCACGGGACCCTCCAGGAACTCCAGCGAGCTCAACCGGAACTCAACCAACCCACAAGAACTCTCTAGGAACTCCGCGAGAACTCAAAAATAGCGGGCACCCAAGGCAGCAGGAACCGCCCCTTCTGGCAAAATGCCAGGCACCATCTTTTTTTTTTTTTTTTTTTTGACAATTTTGATACATTTATAAAAATGAGAACAAGATACAAAATAATTCTAGAATAGCAATCAGTCTTGTTTCTTTCTAATTGTTTTATTTTGGCTTTCATCTCTCGCTATTTTTTGGTGTTGTAGATATAGCTAATAATAGAGAAAATTGAAGTACATTACATAATTCCAGCATACAGGAAGCTATCAAGATTTACAAATGTAATGAGGAATCTCTTTCTTGTTATATCTCAGTATAAGAGCGTCTATCTCTTCCCCATGAATAAAACTGAGTTGTGTGAAGGAAGGAGACTCCAAACTCATTACCTAAGTTTAAGTTCCCACAGTTGCTCATCAACTGCCTAACTGATCATCTGGCTTCTTATCTTCTTTCTCTCATCCTTGATATTAAAATCTCTCTCCCCTAAATTGTTCCCATTGACATATATACACTTACTCTCAGAGTGTGTCATTCTTGGAGAGTAAAATTCTACTAATCCCTTGAAAAAACCTGAGAAAACTTTCTCATGATGAATTTCTCTTAATATTAACGTCATCATTAATATATTTCTCAAATATGTTCCTTAGCACTAAAATATATTCCTTTAATGTAGCACACATCTGTGTGATCCCACTATTTTAAAAAAATGCTTGTGTTGCTTCATGTCGTTACATTGGAAGCTTTGAGAACTGGTGCTGGGTTTAATTCTTTATATAACTTCCAAATCTCCCATGATTCTGATTTCTTTTTATATATATATATATATATTTAATTTTTTATTGTGGGTTGTTCAAAACATTACAAATTTCTTGACATATCATATTCCACACTTTGATTCAAGTGGGTTATGAACTCCCACCTTCACCCCATACACAGATTGCAGAATCACATCAGTTACACATCCATTGATTTACATATTGCCATACTAGTGTCTGTTGTGCTCCGCTGCCTTTCCCATCCTCCACCCTCTCCCCTCCCCTCCCCTCCTCTCTCTCTACCCCCTCCACTGTATAACCCTGAGGGTCTCCTTCCATTACCATGCAATTTCCCTTCTCTCTCCCTTTCCCTCCCACCTCTCATCCCTGTTAAATGTTAATCTTCTTCTCCTGCTCTTCGTCCCTACTCTGATCTTAGTTACTCTCCTTATATCAAAGAAGACATTTGGCATTTGTTTTTTAGGGATTGGCTAGCTTCACTTAGCATAATCTGCTCTAATGCCATCCATTTCCCTGTAAATTCTATGATTTTGTCATTTTTTAATGCAGAGTAATACTCCATTGTGTATAAATGCCACATTTTTTTTTTATCCATTCGTCTATTGAAGGGCATCTAGGTTGGTTCCACAGTCTTGCTATTGTGAACTGCCAGGCACCATCTTGAACTGGCCATGACTCTCAACAATATAAATAGAATGTGTATCAAAATATGTAAATATATAAATAACTCTGAAAATTAAAAACAGACAAATGACCTTTAGAAGACAATTGAGCAGTTTCATACAAAAGCTAAACCTACTCTTAACATCCAGCAACTTCATTCCTTGGTATTTAAAGAAATGAGTTGCAAACCTATGTTCACATAAAAACCTGCCCATGAATTGCCAAAATATGGAAGCAATAAAATGTCCTTCAGTAGCTGAAAGAAAAAACAAATTGTGGTATATTTGGATAAGGACATAGTGTATAACAATAAACTAAATGAATCTCAACTCATGAAAAGACATGGAAGACATGCATGCATACTGCTAGGTGAAAGAAGCTAATGTGAAGGTTCAATTCCAACTATATAATATTCTGGAAAAGGCAACACAATGAAGACAGTAACAAGGTCATTCATTGCCAGGGGAAGGAAGAGGAGGAATGAATTGGCAGAACACTGGATTGTTAGGGCTATTCCGTTTTTGTTGTTGTTGTTGTTGTTGTTGTTGTTTTGTGGTGTTGGGGATTGAACCCAAGGCCTTGTGCATGTGAGGCAAGCACTCTACCAACTCAGCTATATCCCCAACCCCTGAAATTATTCCTTTTTTTAATCTTTTATTAGTGTATTACAGTCATGCATAATACTGGGGTTCATTTTGACATAATTATACAAACACAGAATATAATTTTCTCCAATACTTCCCTTTCCCATACCTTCTTCACACTCCCTCTTCCCCTTCCTCTACTCTACTGATCTTTCTTCTATTTACATACAGTTTTTTTAGTGCATTATAGATATACATTAAGGTGAAATTCACTGTGGTTTATCAGGAAAGTTTGGTCATATTCATTCCACCAACCCTCCCTTTTTCTCTCCTCCTTCCCACTCAATATCATTCCTCTATTCCACTGACCTCTCTTGTATTTTGATGGAATTCACCACCACCACACATTTTCCCCTTATTTTGCTCTAGTTTCCACATATGAGAGAAAACATTTGACCCTTGAATTTCTAGATCTGGCTTATTTACCTTAGCATGACAGTTTCCAGTTCCATCCATTTACCGGCAAGTGCCATAATTTCATTCTTCTTTATGGCTGAGTAAATCTACATTTTAGAACAAAAGATAGATATCTTTTTAATTTTTTGTAGCTGTAGATTGGCAGCATTCCTTTATTTTGTTTATTTTTATGTGGTGCTGAGGATTGAACCCAGTGCCTCACACATGTTAGGCAAGAGCTCTGCCCCTGAGCCACAGCCCCAGCCCTCACATTTTCTTTATCCATTCATCTGTTCATGAGTATCTGTGCTTGTTCCAAAACTTGGCCATTGTGAGTTGTGTTGCTATAAACATTGATGTGGCTGTATGCCCATAGCATACTATTTTTATATCTTTTGGCTATATACCAAGGAATGGGATACCTGAGTCACATGGTGGTTCCATTCCTAGGCTTTTGAGGAATCCCCATACTGTTTCCAGTGTGGCTGTACTAATTTTTAGTCCCACCAACAATGTATGAGTCTGTCTTTTTCCCCATGTCCTCACCAGCATTTATTGGTATTTGCATTCTTGATAATTGCCATTCTGACTAGAGATGAAATTTCAATGTAGTGTTGATTTGCATTTCCCTGATTGCTAGAAATATTGAACATAATTTCAAATATTTGGTGACCATTTACATCTTTTTTTTTGACAAGTGTTTAGTTCTTTAGCCCATTAATTAACTGAATTATTTGCGGGGTTTTTTTGTTTTGTTTTTGTTTTAGTTTTTTGGTGCTGGGGATTGACCCCAGGGCTTTGTGCATGCAAGGCAAGCACCCTACCAACTGGGCTACATCCCCAGCCCTGTGGGGTTTTTTGGTGTTAAGTTTCTTGAGTCCTTTACATATTCTGAATATTAGTCTCCTGTCTGAGGAGCAGACAGCAAAGATCTTCTATTTTATAGGCTCTCTCTTCACAATCTTGTTTCCTTTGTAGTGCAGAATATTTTTAATTTGATGCCATCCCACTTATTGACTTGTGTTTTTATTTCTTGCACTTTAGGAGTATTGTTAAGGAAGCTGGTGCATGTTCCAATATATAAATGTTGAGCCTATGTTTTCATCTAGCAGTTGCAGAGTTTCTGGTTTAATCCCTGGGTCTTTGATGCACTACGAGTTGACTTTTGAGCACAGTCAGAGATAGGGCTTAAGTTTCATTATTCTAGATGTGAATAACTGAATAAGGACTAGAAGATGAAAAGATCTCCCATGGTCTTGGATAGGAAGAATTACTATTATCATAATAGCCATACTACCATTATTCAGATTCAATTTAATCCCCATCAAAATATTCATATCTTTCACAGAACTAGAAAAAAAAAAAAATAAGAGACCCAGAATAGCCAAAGCAATCCTGAGCAAGAACAACAATGCAGGAGGCCTCACCATACCAGACCTCAAATTATACCACCGAGCTGTAGTAACAAAAACAGCACGGAATGGGCACCAAAATAGACATAAATAGACAAAACAGACCAACAGACTAGAATACAAAACAGAGAGATAAATCCATATCTGTACAGTCACTTGATACTGGACAAAGGTGCCCAAAACATGCATTAGAGAAAAGATAGCCTTTTTTAACAAATGGTGCTGGGAAAATTGAAATTATTGTTTATGATATTACAATGATGAATACATGTCAACACACATCTCTAACACCCGTAGAATGTGTAGCACCAAAAGCAATCCCTAAAGCAGAAATTGTAGCTCAGTGGTAGAGCGCTTTCCTAGCACTGTGAGGCACTGGGTTTGAGGCACCACATAAAAATAAATAAATAAATAAATGGATTGTGTCTATCTACTACTGAAAAAAAATTAAAAACAGAAGCAAATCCTATTCTAAACTATAGGCTTTAGTGAATAACAATGTATCAATATTGACTCATCAATTGCAATACATTTATCACACTTATACAAGATGCTAATAGGAAAAAATATGTTTGGGGGGGTATGAGGTTAGACAAGAACACTCTATACTTTCCACTCGATTTTTCTGTAACCTTCACACTGTCATCGGAACTATTCACTAATAACAAAAGGCAAATAACTACTTTTTTAAATGAGCAAAAGTCTTTTAGTGTAAGGGAAATCGAGTAAGATACTATTCCATATTAAAATCTGGATGGCTAACATTTTAAAAACTGATAACTCTAATTGATGTTGGGAATGTAAAATGATGGCATAGTCTCATTACAGGACTTCTAGGCAGTTTTATTAAACATCTGAAGATGTACCTACACTATGACCCACTATCCATCCCTAGAATAAAAAAACACATACACTAAAGTTTTCCATTAGAATGTTTATTAAGCAATGGAAACAACCCAAATGTCCATCCACACAGGAATGAATAAAACAAATTGTGTCATATCTCTATAAACAATACCACTCAGCAAACTACTAATTACACAACACAAAAGTGACTCTCAAAAACATTATGTTGAGTGGAAGAAGCCGAGACACAAAAGAAGATCATACCTGTATGGTTCAATTTACTCAGAAATAAAGAACAGGCAAAAGTATTCTACGATGATAGAAATCAGAAGGGAAATGGCCCAGAACTGGATGTTCAAGGGACATTGATTGCAAAGAGGGACAAGAAAAACTTTAGGAATGATGAAAATGTTCTATAACTACTGAGATGCTTACATGGTTCTATACCATTGTGAGAACTCATCAAGCAGAGTCTCCTAATTTATATAAATACACCTAAATTTCAAAGACAGATTGGGGTATTACCTTTAAAGACCTCAAAAAATAGAAAAAAATTGATGCAATAATTCTAAACATAACAAAACTTTAGATTCGAGTGTAAAGACAGAATGTATTGTTTTGTGCCAGGGCTTGAACCTAGGGCTGCTTAACCACTGAACCACATCCCTAGCCCTTTCTTATTTTTTATTTTAAGAAAGGGCCTTGAGAAAATTGCTGAGGCTAACCTTGAACTTGTGATACTCTTGCCTCAGCCTTGCTGATCTCTGGGATTAGAGGCATGTGCCACCACAGCCAGCTTGGCAGAATGCTTTTCAATATTGGGAAAAACTAATGGAATATATTTCCCATGAGTAATTGTTGAAAATACTACTAAACTTCAACTTCAACTTTGCCTGCATGTGCTCTGTTACAGAATCCACTCTTTGTACAATTCACATAAGCACATATTTCAGCTACTGTGTGTTATAGACTGAATTCTGTCCCCTAGCCATGAAATTCATATATTGAAGCCCTAATGCCCCATACTTCAGAATATGATCTTATTTAGACATAGGGTTTTCACAGAGGTAATTCAGTTGAAATAAGGTCATTAGTGTAGGCCTTTAAGCCAATATGGTTGGTGTGCTTACTAAACAAGGAATTTTTTTGGTGGGGGGTACCAGGGATTGAACCCAGGTGTGTGCAGCACAGGGTGGAGGTGAGGATGGGGTGGGGTGTATGCTTGCCCACTAAGCCACATCCCCAGCCCTTTTTTTGCATTTTATATAGAGACAGGGTCTTGATGAGTTGATTAGAGCCTCACTAAATTGCTGAGTCTTTGAACTCGCAATCCTCCTGCCTCAGCCTCCCAAACTGCTGGGATTACAGGTATGCACCACCATGCCTGGCCAAGATAAGGAAATTTAGAGACAGGTGCATCACAAAGGGAAGGCAGTTAGGAAGCCACAGGGAAAAGGCAGAAATCCACAAGCCAAGGTGTGATGCTGAGAACAGATCTGTCCTACACAGCCCTCAGAAGGATCAAGAAGGATCAAGCTGGCTGACACCTTGATCTCTAGTCCACAGAACTGAGAGAAAATAAGTTTCTCTTGTTTAAACCACCCAGTCTGTGGTGCACTTACAGTAGCATTAGCAAAATAAAATACCAAGGTTTAGTTAACCAATACCAGCCCCCCCAAATCTAGTTCAGATATCAGTTACCATTCTGTATCAACTGAATCACTGCATGAATGCAGATTCTGCTAACTCCCCAGTTCACATATCACTATGTAAATATCCGACATATACATGAAAAGTGACAAATCACATCACTTACTAGAAAGCCTGTCAATGATTGGTCACTGCACATCTAAGATTTAGCACATACAGAGCAAAACATGTTAATTGTGTTGCTTACTTTTGTCCTCGTGATAAAGTTATGTGATACTTTTCAAAAATGGATAACAGAAGAGGAACAAGACAAAGAATGAAAATGCAGCCAGTCAATAAAAGCACTAAACATAAAATTGGAAAGTGGTTAGATATGAAAGATGGAGGTGTCCCAGAGGAAGTGACACTGGCAAAAACCTTCATACTAAAGGAACTTTTGTAGAAACTTCACAATGTTAAAAATGCAAAGAATAAAATGTTAGAAGCTAACCTGTACTTAGAAAAATGATAATTGGCCAAAGCAAAGATACTTCATAGCATAAATCACAAGATTATAATATTATAATATACATATTTTGGTTTTGTTCATGGTTCCTAGCTTATAAATTTCTACCCAAGCCAAGCCATAGAAACTAGAATTTCTCTTCCCCAAGGTGAGTAGGCCTCCTTTCTCTTTCTCCCAACACCCCACCTCTTTTATACCAGGGATTGAACCCACGGTCATTTAACCACTGAGCCACATCCCCACATCCCCTGCCCTTTTTATTTTATTTTTTATTTTTTGAGAAAGGGTATCACTAGGTTGCTGAGGCTGGCCTTGAACTTGTGATCCTCGTGCCTCAGCCCCGTGAGCTACTGGGATTATAAGGAACACACCTCTATTCCTGGCTGCCTTCTGTCTTGGAGACGGCTATAAAGAAATGCTCTGACCTATCTAGTCTTATAGTAGATAATAAAACCCCTATTTCAGAAGGGACCCTGACCCATAGTCAGGAGGGGAAAATGCTACACAAAAAGGCCAAGAAGAAACCGAGTAGACAGGCCTTGCTAGGTCTCTCCACTCAGTCTATTATATCCTAGCCTTTTTGTCCAGTTACATTTCTACATCATTGTCCCTGCTTTATTCATGCTTATATAATAAGTCTCCATAAGAATCCAAAAGGACAGGGTTCAGAGAGCTTAAGAATAGCTGAATATGT